GATGTCTCATTGTGATGGACTGTGGTAGTGATGGATGTCTCATTGTGATGGACTGTGGTAGTGATGGATGTCTCATGGTGATGGACTGTGGTAGTGATGGATGTCTCATTGTGATGGACTGTGGTAGTGATGGATGTCTCAGTGGTGATGGACTGTGGTAGTGATGGATGTCTCATTGTGATGGACTGTGGTAGTGATGGATGTCTCATTGTGATGGACTGTGGTAGTGATGGATGTCTCAGTGGTGATGGACTGTGGTAGTGATGGATGTCTCAGTGTGATGGACTGTGGTAGTGATGGATGTCTCATTGTGATGGACTGTGGTAGTGATGGATGTCTCATTGTGATGGACTGTGGTAGTGATGGATGTCTCATTGTGATGGACTGTGGTAGTGATGGATGTCCTCGTTGTGATGGACTGTGGTAGTGATGGATGTCTCATTGTGATGGACTGTGGTAGTGATGGATGTCTCATGTGATGGACTGTGTAGTGATGGGATAGGTGATGTTCGGATGGATTGGTAGTATGGAGTCTCATGTGATGGACTGTGGTAGTGATGTGATGTTCATGTGATGGACTGTGGTAGTGATGGATGTCTCATTGTGATGGACTGTGGTAGTGATGGATGTCTCATTGTGATGGACTGTGGTAGTGATGGATGTCTCATTGTGATGGACTGTGGTAGTGATGGATGTCTCATTGTGATGGACTGTGGTAGTGATGGATGTCTCATGTGATGGACTGTGGTAGTGATGGATGTCTCATGTGATGGACTGTGGTAGTGATGGATGTCTCATTGTGATGGACTGTGGTAGTGATGGATGTCTCATGTGATGGACTGTGGTAGTGATGGATGTCTCATTGGTGATGGACTGTGGTAGTGATGGATGTCTCATTGTGAGAGTAGTGACTGGACTGTGGTAGTGATGGATGTCTCATTGTGATGGACTGTGGTAGTGATGGATGTCTCATTGTGATGGACTGTGGTAGTGATGGATGTCTCATTGTGATGGACTGTGGTAGTGATGGATGTCTCATTGTGATGGACTGTGGTAGTGATGGATGTCTCATTGTGATGGACTGTGGGAGTGATGGATGTCTCATTGTGATGGACTGTGGTAGTGATGGATGTCTCATTGTGATGGACTGTGGTAGTGATGGATGTCTCATTGTGATGGACTGTGGTAGTGATGGATGTTCTCATTGTGATGGACTGTGGTAGTGATGGGATGTCTCATTGTGATGGACTGTGGTAGTGATGGATGTCTCATGGTGATGGACTGTGGTAGTGATGGATGTCTCATTGTGATGGACTGTGGTAGTGATGGATGTCTCATTGTGATGGACTGTGGTAGTGATGGATGTCTCATTGTGATGGACTGTGGTAGTGATGGATGTCTCATTGTGATGGACTGTGGTAGTGATGGATGTCTCATTGTGATGGACTGTGGTAGTGATGGATGTCTCATTGTGATGGACTGTGGTAGTGATGGATGTCTCATTGTGATGGACTGTGGTAGTGATGGATGTCTCATTGTGATGGACTGTGGTATGATGGATGTCTCATTGTGATGGACTGTGGTAGTGATGGATGTCTCATGGTGATGGACTGTGGTAGTGATGGATGTCTCATTGTGATGGACTGTGGTAGTGATGGATGTCTCATTGTGATGGACTGTGGTAGTGATGGATGTCTCATTGTGATGGACTGTGGTAGTGATGGATGTCTCATTGTGATGGACTGTGGTAGTGATGGATGTCTCATTGTGATGGACTGTGGTAGTGATGGATGTCTCATTGTGATGGACTGTGGTAGTGATGGATGTCTCATTGTGATGGACTGTGGTAGTGATGGATATCTCATTGTGATGGACTGTGGTAGTGATGGATGTCTCATTGTGATGGACTGTGGTAGTGATGGATGTCTCAATGTGATGGACTGTGGTAGTGATGGATGTCTCAGTGTGATGGACTGTGGTAGTGATGGATGTCTCATTGTGATGGACTGTGGTAGTGATGGATGTCTCATTGTGTCAGAGTAGTGATGGACTGTGGTAGTGATGGATGTCTCATTGTGATGGACTGTGGTAGTGATGGATGTCTCATTGTGATGGACTGTGGTAGTGATGGATGTCTCATTGTGATGGACTGTGGTAGTGATGGATGTCTCAGTGTGATGGACTGTGGTAGTGATGGATGTCTCAGTGTGATGGACTGTGGTAGTGATGGATGTCTCATTGTGATGGACTGTGGTAGTGATGGATGTCTCATTGTGATGGACTGTGGTAGTGATGGATGTCTCATTGTGATGGACTGTGGTAGTGATGGATGTCTCATGGTGATGGACTGTGGTAGTGATGGATGTCTCATTGTGATGGACTGTGGTAGTGATGGATGTCTCATTGTGATGGACTGTGGTAGTGATGGATGTCTCATTGTGATGGACTGTGGTAGTGATGGATGTCTCATTGTGATGGACTGTGGTAGTGATGGATGTCTCATTGTGATGGACTGTGGTAGTGATGGATGTCTCATTGTGATGGACTGTGGTAGTGATGGATATCTCATTGTGATGGACTGTGGTAGTGATGGATGTCTCATTGTGATGGACTGTGGGTAGTGATGGATGTCTCATTGTGATGGACTGTGGTAGTGATGGATATCTCATTGTGATGGACTGTGGTAGTGATGGATGTCTCATTGTGATGGACTGTGGTAGTGATGGATATCTCATTGTGATGGACTGTGGTAGTGATGGATGTCTCATTGTGATGGACTGTGGTAGTGATGGATGTCTCATTGTGATGGACTGTGGTAGTGATGGATGTCTCATTGTGATGGACTGTGGTAGTGATGGATATCTCATTGTGATGGACTGTGGTAGTGATGGATGTCTCAGTGTGATGGACTGTGGTAGTGATGGATATCTCATTGTGATGGACTGTGGTAGTGATGGATGTCTCATTGTGATGGACTGTGGTAGTGATGGATGTCTCATTGTGATGGACTGTGGTAGTGATGGATGGATGTCTCAGTGTGTCAGAGTAGTGATGGACTGTGGTAGTGATGGATGTCTCAGAGTGGTGATGGACTGTGGTAGTGATGGATGGATGTCTCAGAGTGGTGATGGACTGTGGTAGTGATGGATGTCTCAGAGTGGTGATGGACTGTGGTAGTGATGGATGGATGTCTCAGAGTGGTGATGGACTGTGGTTGTGATGGATGGATGTCTCAGAGTGGTGATGGACTGTGGTAGTGATGGATGGATGTCTCAGAGTGGTGATGGACTGTGGTAGTGATGGATGGATGTCTCAGAGTGGTGATGGACTGTGGTAGTGATGGATGGATGTCTCAGAGTAGTGATGGACTGTGGTAGTGATGGATGGATGTCTCAGAGTGGTGATGGACTGTGGTAGTGATGGATGGATGTCTCAGAGTGGTGATGGACTGTGGTTGTGATGGATGGATGTCTCAGAGTAGTGATGGACTGTGGTTGTGATGGATGGATGTCTCAGAGTGGTGATGGACTGTGGTTGTGATGGATGGATGTCTCAGAGTGGTGATGGACTGTGGTAGTGATGGATGTCTCAGAGTAGTGATGGACTGTGGTAGTGATGGATGGATGTCTCAGAGTGGTGATGGACTGTGGTAGTGATGGATGGATGTCTCAGTGACAGATACAGAGCAGGATGGACAGTGGCACCCTATTCCCTATATAGTGCACTACTTTTGACCAGGGGTAGCACAATATAAAGTGAACATGGTGCCATTTGGGACAAAGTTGACTAGAAATACAAAGTCACCAATGTCTTTGCAATTGATACAGACAAGCGACATATAAAATGATGCTTCAAATGAAAACTGATATGACTGCATTAAATATAAACAGCCAACAGTAGTCTACAGGGCCTATTTTAAATCATATTGAAATACATTTCATGTTCAATCAATGGAGTTCTGTTTTGCTACTTGTAGGCTGCTGTCTGTAATCTGTCTTAATGTATTTCCTGGTGTAGCCTAACGTGAACAATGATGCGCCAAATCTTGATTTAGTGCATTGTTACAGGGTAAGCAATGAAGCCGCCTAATATTTGCAGCCGTAGGTGATAATATCTCTCTAGGAGCTGATCTGTCGTCAGTATTGTGGAATAAGTGTAATATTAAGGTAAGATTTTGAATGGAGAAAGCTGATCCGAGAGCAGCGTTGCCTTTCTTTCGGTTCTGTCAGTATCGCCACTGTGCCTCAACGACGCACTTAAGCGAACGTTCTCTCTGCGTGGTGTTTTTTTTGGGAAACGCGTGTTACGTCTTCGGGCCGTTGTGGGAGAGATGCATCGTTAAAACACTCGGAAGCCTAACTTCCATCGCCGTCGGGAAACCGGGTCCTGGGCCCTCACCCTCACAGATGGGAAGACTGCCTCTCAGCCATCAGCTGGGGCTGAGACAAACAACTACATTTTAATCGAATACAGGCTTAACTGAATGAACAAATCAAATGAAAATGGAATTGTATTTGTCACATGCTTGGTAACCAACAGGCTGACAGTGAAACGCTTCCTGACGGGCCCTTCCCAATTATACAGAGAGAACATCACAATAAATTAACAAATAGAAACAAAAATGAATGATGTTATGGATGAAGTTAAACGAGCATTCAGACCAGCCTTCTTGGTTTAACTTTCTTAAACTACATTATATCAACTATATGAACAGCATAGATCTCTATAGGAACTGGGGCTGAGCCCAAAATGCTACTCTATAGTCTGGTCCCAGATCTGTTCTATAGCCTGGTCCCAGATCTGTTCTATAGCCTGGTCCCAGATCTGTTCTATAGTCTGTTCTCTAGCCTGGTCCAGATCTGTTCTATAGCTGGTCCCAGATCTGTCTTATAGCCTGGTCCCAGATCTGTTCTATAGTCTGGTCCAGCTGTTCTATAGCTGGTCCAGATCTGTTCTATAGCTGGTCCCAGATCTGTTCTATAGCCTGGTCCCAGACTGTTCTATAGCTGGTCCCAGATCTGTTCTATAGTCTGGTCCCAGATCTGTTCTATAGTCTGGTCCCAGATCTGTTCTATAGCCTGGTCCCAGATCTGTTCTATAGCCTGGTCCCAGATCTGTTCTATAGCCTGGTCCCAGATCTGTTCTATAGCCTGGTCCCAGATCTGTTCTATAGCCTGGTCCCAGATCTGTTCTATAGCCTGGTCTCTAGCCTGGTCCCAGATCTGTTCTATAGTCTGGTCCCAGATCTGTTCTATAGTCTGTTCTATAGCCTGGTCCCAGATCTGTTCTATAGCCTGGTCCCAGATCTGGTCTATAGCCTGGTCCCAGATCTGTTCTATAGTCTGGTCCCAGATCTGTTCTATAGCCTGGTCCCAGATCTGTTCTATAGTCTGTTCTATAGTCTGGTCCCAGATCTGTTCTATAGCCTGGTCCCAGATCTGTTCTATAGCCTGGTCCCAGATCTGTTCTATAGTCTGGTCTATAGTCTGGTCCCAGATCTGTTCTATAGTCTGGTCCCAGAGCTTTTCTATCATGTTCATTCCTTGTCATATCAAGGAGTGGCATGATGGCACAGACAGACTGTCTTGTCCTGTAGGAACATAGCTATCTACTCATCAATCCTGAGCTAGAATGTCATCTACCATTCCTCCTGAGGCCATGACCAGAGAAGCTCCAATGTTGGACTGCGTCCCAAATGGCACCCTATTCACTATATAGTGTAGTACTTTAGACCAGAGTCCTATAGTCCCTGTTCAAAATTAGTGCACTATATAGGGAATAGGGTGCGGGATGCAGCAGGGTTGACAGGGCTTGGCAGCAGGCCGTTACGTCTCCATCTCGCTTCAGTTCCAAGCAGCTGTTGCTCTGTCTGGGAATGCGTCCTTTTCCTTACGTAGTGAACTATGTAGGATATAGGTTGCTATTTGGGACGCAGCCTGGGACTTGCTGCCCCTCTCGGTCTGTTGCCCTGGCACCAAGGCAACGGCTCTACTAATCTTTCACCTAAAACGGGAGTAGGGAGCAGGGGACAAGGGAGTAGGGGACAAGGGAGTAGGGGACAAGGGAGTAGGGGACAAGGAAGGAGGGGAAAGTGAGTAGGGGACAAGGGTGTACGGAGTAGGGGACAAGGGGGGGCTTCATTGTGACGTTGTTGTGGAGGAAGTGATCATCATCACAGCTGTGTCCTCTCTGGAGGTCAGGGCGTTTCTCTGAGGGTGTGACCCAAAAGGCACCCTATTCCCTCCTATGGGCCCTGGTCAAACTTAGCGCACTATATATTTGGAATATGGTGCTATTTGGGACGCAGGCTCTGAGTGAAGGATCATACAGGAAAACAGAGCTGCCAGTAGACGCCAGCCAAACGTCCGAACCATAGAAATACAATTACAAATAGAATAGCTTCGTCCATTCTACTAATTCTCTCTCTATGGTCTGAGCAGCACATTGGAGAGGTAAGCAGGAGGATGTCTTGACACAGGGTTGGCAGGACATGTGATATTAAAAACAGCTGTGGATTAGGGTGGACTGAAGACACAATGCAAGCCATCGAAAGTAACCTCATCCCAACTCTGGATCGACTGCGTGTTCCAGTTCCCACCAATATCCAGCAACTTTTCACAGCTATTGAAGAGGAGTGGAACAACATTCCACAATCAACAGCCTGATCAACTCTACACAAAGGAGATGTGTCTCGCTGCATGAGGCAAATGGTAGTCATACCAGATACTGACTGGTGTTCTGATCCACGCCCCTACATTTCATTAAAGGTATCTGTGACCAACAGATGTATATCTGTTTTCTCAGTCATGTGAAATCCATAGATTAGGGCCTAATTAATTTTTCAATTGACTGATTTCCTTATGAACTGTAACTCAGTAAAATCTTTGAAATTGTTCCATTTTATATTTCTGTTCAGTATACGATAGTATATTCAGTATATGATAAATGGACCAGTTTGCTTTTCCCAGTGACATTGAGTTATTTGTTTTGAATCTAAATAGCTAGCAATTTAGGGGCAGTATGAAAAATGTATTCACTCACTAACTGTAAGTCGCTCTGGATAAGAGCGTCTGCTAAAATGACTAAAATGTAAATGTAAAAAACTGGCCAACCAGATTCTGACAGAAGGCAGAGAAAGGAACAGATGCCTCCTAAACTAACTATTGTCATGGAAATATGCATTGATTGGCACTTTTCTTTGTTACTCCCTAGTGGTCAAATAACGTCATAGAAGCCACTCTGCTTAAGAAAAACACAAAACGTATTCTTGAAGGCATTTTATATCATAAATGTATTTATTTCAATTTTATTCAAGCGCTTTCAAGGTACAGGACTAAAACATATGAGGGAAATTATCATCACATGTAACACTTCTGATTTCAAACCAAACATATATTCGAATCACATATTGAACATAATATTCCAGCCAAGATCTGTTAGGAGGCGAACAGCGTAAAGCTTTCAGAGAGAAAGCATTTGAATACTGGGATGGGGAGGATACCCTGGGAGGAGATACACACAGCTTCTGTCCCAAATGGCACCCTATTCCCTATATAGTGCACTACTTTAGACCAGAGTTTTATGGTCTCTAGTCACAAGTAGTGCACTATATAGGGGATAGGGTGTCACTTAGGACGTGCACCATCAACTTTCATTCTGAGGGTATATTTGGGAAGGACCAGAGACCTGTCAAGTTTGTGCACTCATTAGAAACCTTCCCTGTCCTCAGCTCAAGGCACTACCATTAGAATAAAGGAACTAAAAAAGGTGAGCCAGCCGTCTCCGAATCCTACTGTTAGTGGCCAATCAGAGACTGTCTAGCCAATATTAGAGCAACGTTAACCTTTTAACCGTCCGTTAGGGTCAAGCCCCTTCCAAGTCCTGCTGGGACCACTACACACAAACATGTTCCATTCTCAGTTAGTGTGCCTCCCAAATGGTACCCTGTGGGTCCTGGTCTAAAGTAGTGCACTAAAGAGTACTGGGTGCCATTTGGGCCACACCCTCAGTCTCAGGAGCCAGTGGTAAAGCTGCAGTAGATTCCCCAGTGATCGCTGGTGTAGCGACCACAGTCCAGCTTCTCTAACCCCACCAGGGCCATGTGGTCCGGGGCCATCCGGGACCCGGGGCCCTCCCTGGCCGGCCGGAGGTAGACGCGGTCAAAACGACACCTGCTGACATACGGTACGCTCTTGTTGCTGTTGGCCTTGGTGTCCCAGGTGTACCTGCAGTGTTCCTGCTTCCCCAGCTGATCCCACACGTCACACACACCACTGGGAAGACCTCCGACCTTTGTCACCTGTGACACAAAAATAACGGTAAAACAAAATGTTTTTATGAATAGTTTAGATTCCTATCTTGAGATATTGACGAGAGTGAGTGAGAGGCCAGAGAGAAAGATCATGTTTTTTTAGGATATATTAGGGAGACCAAAGCCTAACCTCTGTGTCCCTCAGGTTGGTGTCCCCTCCGAATAGGACAGTCACGTTACTGGGCACGTCCGTCATCCTCTTCAGCACCACCCTCAGCTGTTTCATCCTCTCCTCTGCCTGTCCCTTACAGCTCTCGAAATGGGACGTCATCACACACAGCTCCTGGTCCCTGAACTTCACCTGAGGCCGGATGGACACGACAGACTTCAGATGAGCTGCGTATTAACAAGATGATTACCTGTTTGGACTCTGTCTGTGTTGTCGGCGCGTGGACCTACTTCAGCAACCAGCAGATTCCTCATCATCTGGGTGCTTGGGTAACTGATTACCTGTTTGGACTCTGTGTGTGTTATCGGCGCGTGGACCTACTTCCTGTTTAGGACTCTGTGTTATCGGCGCGTGGACCTACTTCCTGTTTAGGACTCTGTGTGTTATCGGCGCGTGGACCTACTTCAGCAACCAGCAGATTCCTCATCATCTGGGTGCTTGGGTAACTGATGACGTCACTGTTCAGGACCTTCACTCTGGACTTCTTCAACATCAAACCAGTGAAGTACCCCTCCTTGCCTCCTGACATTGAGGAAGTGAAATGTCTGGCATTTATACATATATACACACATACATTTATACATACAGTTGAAGTCGGAAGTTCACATACACCTTAGCCAAATACATTTCAACTCAGTTTTTCACAATTCCTGACATTTAATCCTAGTAAGAATTCCCTGTTTTAGGTCAGTTAGGATCACCACTTTATTTTAAGAATGTGAAATGTCAGAATAATAGTAGAGAGAATGATTTATTTCAGCTTTTATTTCTTTCATCACATTCCCAGTGGGTCAGAAGTTTACATACACTCAATTAGTATTTGGTTGCATTGCCTTTAAATTGTTTAACTTGGGTGAAACATTTCGGGTAGCCTTCCACAAGCTTCCCACAATAAGTTGGGTGAATTCTGGCCCATTCCTCCTGACAGAGCTGGTGTAGGCCTCCTTGCTCGCACACACTTTTTCAGTTCTGCCCACAAATATTCTATAGGATTGAGGTCAGGGCTTTGTGATGGCCACTCCAATACCTTGACTTTGTTGTCCTTAAGCCATTTTGCCACAACTTTGGAAGTATGCTTGGGGTCATTGTCGATTTGGAAGACCCATTTGCGACCAAGCTTTAACTTCCTGACTGATGTCTTGAGATGTTGCTTCATATCCACATAATGTTCCTTCCTCATGATGCCATCTATTTGGTGAAGTGCACCAGTCCCTCCTGCAGCAAAGCACCCCCACAGCATGATGCTGCCACCCCCGTGCTTCACGGTTGGGATGGTGTTCTTTGGCTTGCAAGCAGCACCCTTTTTCCTCCAAACATAACGATCGTCATTATGGCCAAACAGTTCTATTTTTGTTTCATCAGACCAGAGGACATTTCTCCAAAAAGTACAATCTTTGTCCCCATGTGCAGTTGCAAACCGTAGTCTGGCTTTTTTATGGCGGTTTTGGAGCAGTGGCTTCTTCCTTGCTGAGCGGCCTTTCAGGTTACGTCGATATAGGACTTATTTTATTGTGGATATAGATACTTTTGTACCTGTTTCCTCCAGCATCTTCACAAGGTCCTTTGCTGTTGTTCTGGGATTGATTTGCACTTTTCGCAACAAAGTACGTTCATCTCTAGGAGACAGAACGCATCTCCTTCCTGAGCGGTATGACGGCTGCGTGGTCCCATGGTGTTTTTACTTGCGTACTATTGTTTGTACAGATGAACGTGGTACCTTCAGGCATTTGGAAATTGCTCCCAAGGATGAACCATATTTGTGGAGGTGTACCATTTTTTTTCTGAGGTCTTGGCTGATTTCTTTTGATTTTCCCATGATGTCAAGCAAAGAGGCACTGAGTTTGAAGGTAGGCCTTGAAATACATCCACACGTAGACCTCCAATTGACTCAAATTATGTCAATTAGCCTATCAGAAGCTTCTAAAGCCATGACATCATTTTCTGGAATGTTCCAAGCTGTTTAAAGGCACAGTCAACTTAGTGTATGTAAACTTCTGACCCACTGGAATTGTGATACAGTGAATTATAAGTGAAATAATCTTTCTATAAACAATTGTTGGAAAACATCACTTGTGTCATGCACAAAGTAGATGTCCTAACAGACTTGCCAAAACTATAGTTTGTTAACAAGAAATGTGTGGAGTGGTTGAAAAACAAGTTAATGACTCCAACCTAAGAGTATGTAAACTTCCGACTTCAACTGTACACACATATATATACACACATACATACATACACATACATGCACATGGGGGACTAGTATGAAGAAAAAAAATGTATCACAACTGTAAGTCGCTCTGGTTAAGAGTGTCTGCCAAATGACTAAAATGTCAAATGTAATGGATACATACATACATACATACACACAGAGAGTATACAAAACATTAAGAACACTTTCCTAATATTGAGTTGCACCCCCTTTTGCCCTCAGAACAGCCTCAATTCGTCGGTGCATGGACTCTACAAGGTGTCGAAAGCGTTCCACAGGGATGCTGGTCCATGTTGACTCCAATGCTTCCCACAGTTGTGTCAAGTTGGCTGGATGTCCTTTGGGTGGTGGACCATTCTTGATACACACGGGAAACTGTTGAGCGTGAAAAAGCCAGCAGCATTGCAGTTCTTGACACAAACCAGTGCACCTGGCACCTACTACCATACCTCGTTCGAAGGCACTTCAATCTTTTGTCTTGCCCATTCACCCTCTGAATGACACACATACACAATCATGTCTCAATTGTCTCAAGGCTTAAAAATAATTATTTAACCTGTCTCCTCCCCTTCATCTACACTAATTTAAATGGATTAACAAGTGACATCAATAAGGGATCATAGCTTTCACCTGGTCAGTCTATGTCATGGAAAGAGCAGGTGTTCTTAATGTTTTGTATACTCGGTGTATATATGCCATTTAGCACACACTTTTATTCAAAGCAACTTACATTCCTCAGAGGGAATCGAACCCACGACTTTGGCATAAAATGACACAAGACACTGGTTCTGTTTCAATATCCTATAACCTAACTAACACCACTTAGGTCGAAGCAGTGTATTGAGCATGCATTCTAAGTAGTATGCTACTGTGGAAATTGGAATGCAGGTATTTATCTTATCATCAAACTTTCCCACCATACCCTCAATGATGGTGTAGCTGACAGCCCGCTTCTTGAGGTACTGAACATACGGTTCAATGAGTTCCTGCAGAAACACCACGTCAGGGGTGTAGCTTAACGGAGGAGAGAGGACAAATGTTAAAAATACTTTACCAGACAAGACCAATCACGGTGCTATCCACCACTAGTATCCATTTGAAATGCAAACTAAATGTCTGTGTATTTTTGTCCAGACATCCTCATGATGTTTTGGATCTGCCTGAAATGTTGGCTAACCCAGAGACATGTCCTTGAGTTCAGAGGAAGGATGTTAGTAGGTTGTATGTACCCTAAATGGCCAGTGATTCACAAACTAGGGGTCCCTGATAGGAAAATGGGGTGGCAGGAGAATTTACTAAATCCAGAAGAATTTTTTTAAAATTATAATATCATATTTGTATCTCGACATCATTGTAATGTGGTTAAGCTTACAAATCTAAATGAAAATTATTCAAATCTAAAAGATAAATTCAACAAGATAAAATTCACCCAGAGCGCGCCCTTAGATCATGGGAAAAGGCGCACTTGACCATTGCACTTGAATAATTCCCACGGTGAATGGCTAGGTCCGCTACGCTATGAAACCACAGTATTGCAGAGACTTTGATATTACCGGACACAATTGATATGGTGAAAACAATGTGTGGGGAGGCAGAGGCACAGAAACTCACATCAATACCTTTGTCAGATAACACTGTTAAAGAATAATTTATGCCATTGCTAGAAATCAAGACGAAACTGACTGAACGACTCGCAATCACGGATCACTACGGAGGAGTTTTGGTTCCTGACAAAGGGAATACCTTGACGTCTCCCTCTGAGCATTAATGCCGCGTTCAAAACAACTGGGAACTCTGGGGAAAAAATGAGCTCAGACTGGAAAAAAACAATTTGAATGGAATTCCAACTCAGAAACTCTGACGTCTTTCTAGAGGCCTGTGTAGCTCAGTTGGTAGAGCATGGCGTTTGCAACGCCAGGGTTGTGGGTTCGATTCCCACGGGGGGCCAGTATGAAGAAAAAAAAATGTATGCACTCACTGTAAGTCTGGATAAGAGCGTCTGCTAAATGACTAAAATGTAGAGCTCAGACTTTCCGACCTGAAGATCAATATCGATCCAGGTTGGATGTGACAGCAGAGATGCGGTGTGCACTGTCGACCACGCCCCCTGACCTTGAGAAGCTCCGACGCGACATGCATCAAGCCACACCTATCTCATTAGTGGTGGTGAGATAAGAGATTAATTTGCAATTGACTGTCATAACCCCACATTAAAGTATATGATGGTGAGTTGAGAAGACAAATCAGAAATACTGTTAGAATGTTTTGCAATTGACTGCCATAGCCCCAATTTAAAAAAACAAAACATTGGCTGTTAATTAATAATTGTTTTCACATGGTTGGGGTCAAGATAAAAAATTTATAGAAAAATGGGGTCGTGGGCCACAAAGCTTTGGTAACCCCTGCCCTGGTCAACAGTAGTGTACAATATTAGGGAATCGGGTGCCATTTGGGATGCAACTTAAGTAACCCAGAGAAAATCATTGGGTTGAGAGTGAGGATGTTAAGGAAAGTATTTCACATAGTTCCATAAATGGCTGACATTATAAAAGGACAGTTAGCGAACACAGTGACTCACAGGGCCAGATAAGAACAGAGGCCTCTAGCACGCTCTCCCAGGTTCACGGTGTCCAGTCCATCTACATTCCAGGAGATCAGCGACAGTTTGCTGTCGTCCTGCTCCTCAGAGCCCGAGGCTTTAAGTTTAGCTTTGGGTTCCACTGACTTGGAGGAGTCTGTTGACTTGGCGTTGCTGCTGGAACAGGCAGGCTCTTCTGTGGTCAGGTCAATGCTGCAGGATTTGCAAGGACAGATTAGAGCAATGTTGCCCAGTCCTGGTCCTCAGGGCCCAAAGGGTTTTGCCCTAGCACTAACACAATTGATTCAACTCATTGATAATAATACTACTACTACTACTACTAATAGATTCATCAAGCCTTTGATTATTTGAATCAAAAGTGTTAGGGCAAGTGCTAAGGCAATAACTAAAATGTGCACCCCTTTGGGTCCCCAGGACCAGGAAACACTGGATTAGAGAAAATATCTAGACCAGCAATGTCAAACCAAGAGGCTCACAGCTTATTTTACAATTACCAAAATGACTAAATGAACATTGATATTGTAGACAGGCCAATGCATGAATACATATCACAATACATACCAGTCCACTTTTCCCTGTGGTTTGTCCAACTTCTGTCGTTTAACTTTAGGGGGGCTGCTGTCCTTTGGTGAATCTTCCACTGCAAAAACTGCCTCCATGTCAGCCTCGAAAAATGAGTTCAAAGCTCTCTGAAAAGGTAACACGACATGCATGCAGTATAGAGAAGTAGGTTAATGCTTCTCAAAGTTCTCAGTTGTTTTCAGACCGTAACTAAAGTCATATCATGTTTATTAGTTCATGTCCCACGCATTGGATTCCATGAAAATGCGACGAGTAACGTGGTGGTGAGCTGCTACCGGAAGTGTTGTCGAATTCAATGGGTTGCTATAGCATTAGCTAGCCTAGCATGCTGACGTTAAACTATCTGTAATTTAAATTATAGAGTTGGGATAATTAGGAGTACACTGTCATCTCCCAATCCCTGAATTGGGGTACGTTTTCCCGAGCCGGCTCTGCGCTGTCCTGATCGTGGCATAGCCTCGTTCCGACTAGAGATAACTAATAATTGGGACTGATATGAGCTGGCTAGCTATACGTACCTCCATTTCCCAGTCATTTTCAGCGAGGTAGCATTGAGCCACGGCGCTATCGGATCCTGTTATGGACACAAACTCATCACACAGACCAGTCCTCGTTTCTTCTAAAGTCGACACGGACTTGGAAATATTACTCATGGTTTATCTATTTTATTGCGATGCGTTATCTTGTTAGAAGTGAAGCGAAAGCATTTTACTTCTTCTTCGATGAGGTTTAACGGCGGTTGGTATCCAATAAATCTTGCATTACCGCCACCTACTGGACTGGAGTATAACTCCCTTATACTTTGCTTGAAAAAAAAATACAAAAATAAAAATCAACAAATACCCTACCATCTAACCGTACACTCACTAAAAACCCGCCACCCTTAAATCTATTTAGTCCTACCTCAGGCCAACAGTCTGAAAGGATGGGACACCACCACTTAACTCTCCTGGCATCAAGTCTCGCACACCCAAATACGTCTCTGCAGCTGCCACCACAACCTCCATTTTCTGTGACTTGCTGTACAGTTGATAACCATTGCTACAGGTGCCCATAAGCTTGCCACCTGTAACAACATAATGTATTCGGCACAAAAGATAACTTATATATCCTAACATCACTTTGTCGGGCAAAGACTCAACATCAAAACTCTAGTGGCACAACAAGTCTCCCGAGTGGCGCAGTGGTCTAAGGCACTGCTTCGCAGTGCTACCTGTGCCACTAGAGATCCTGGTTCGAATCCAGGCTCTGTCGTAGCCGGCCACGACCGGGAGACCCATGGGGCGGCGCACAATTGGCCCAGCGTCATCTAGGGTAGGGGAGGGTTTGGCCGGCAGGGGATGTAGCTCAGTTGGTAGAGCATGGCATTTGTAACGCCAGGGTTGTGGGTTCGATTCCAACGGGGCGTATGAAAAAATATATATATAATGTATGCACTAACTGTAAGTCGTGCACTAACTGTACGTCGCTCTGGATAAGAGCGTCTGCTAAATGACTAAAATGTAAAACTCACGCCACCTTGTTTGCGTCACACCAAACGACGAGCATCACAAGCACCGGGAATCTTCCCCTTCAGTTGGTCAACTTTCACATTTACCCCTACCCCAATAATCACTCCTCTCAATGGCGCCCTTTCCTTGAGAGCAAAACAATTCACCTCTCTGTCCCCATTCATTTAACACAGAGTGCCTACTCCCTCTGACCAGCAGAAACAACAATTATCACAAGACCACTTCTGGTTACTGTAGTTATCTGTAGTTACTTCACTGATTCCACAGCACCTAACTCTGTTTTCACCCACCCTGAAACCACAAGTGGATCAGCCAAAAGGCAAGGATCCACTTTCTCCCAAAATGTCCCTCCTACTTTCACTCATCTTTATCCTGGTCTTCAGATGGTGGCACCTTAATTGGGGAGAACGGGCTCTGGGTAATGACTGGAGCGGAATAAGTGGAATGGTATGAAATAAATCAAACACATGGTTTCCAGGTGTTTGATGCATTTTACATTTACATTTTAGTCATTTAGCAGACGCTCTTATCCAGAGCGACTTACAGTTAGTGAGTGCATACATTTTCATACTTGCCCCCCCGTGGGAAACGAACCCACAACCCTGGCGTTGCAAACGCCATGCTCTACCAACTGAGCTACACGGGACTGTGTCATACTGATGCCCTTCCATTTGCTCCGTTCCGTCCATTACTATGAGCCATTCTCCCCTCAGCAGCCTCCACTGGACCCTCGTTGCAAGCCTCGGGCTCCGAGAACTTCACTACACCTGCCACCTCTGATACTTCGCCCTCATTTATCATCCTGTCTTCGATCCGGCGTACAGCTCGCTCTACTGACACTTTCTACCATTCTTCTTCTTCTTCTTTAACAAATGATGGAAGCTCAGCTGCAGAGACTCCTTACAGTGATGGAAGCTCAGCTGCAGAGACTCCTGTACAGCCATGTCCAGGACTATTACAGGTCCGTTCGGTTGGGCAGCAAATCATTGGTAACTGATCTTAAGTCATAGTCTCTCTGTATTGTAAGGATGAATTGCTATCATAAACAGAAGCATAAACTTGAAAGTTTGCCATCATCAAACCAACCAAACACCAGATGCTTGATAGTAAAAGCTACAGTATATGTCAGTCAAGCTACATTATCTGTCAGTCAAGCTACCATATCTGTCAGTCAAGCTACAGTATCTGTAAATCAGTCAAACTACAGTATCTGGTAGTCAAGCTACAGTATCCGGCAGTCATCAGTCATGCTACATTATCTGTCAGTCATCAGTCAAGCTACAGTATCTGTCTGTCAAGCTACAGTATCTGTCAGTCATCAGTCAAGCTACAGTATCTGTCAGTCAAGCTACAGTATCTGTCAGTCAAGCTACAGTATCTGTCAGTCATCAGTCAAGCAACAGTATCTGTCAGTCAAGCTACAGTATCTGTCAGTCATCAGTCAAGCTACAGTTTCTCTCAGTCACACTACAGTTTCTGTCAGTAAAGCTACAGTATCTGTCAGTCAAGCTACAGTATCCGTCAGTCATCAGTCAAGCTATAGTATCTGTCAGTCAAGTTACAGTATCTGTCAGTCATCAGTCAAGTTACAGTATCTGTCAGTCATCAGTCAAGCTACAGTATCTGTCAGTCATCAGTCAAGCTACAGTATCTGTCAGTCATCAGTCAAGCTACATTATCTGTCAGTCAAGCTACAGTAGATGTCAGTCATCAGTCAAGCTACAGTATCTGTCTGTCAAGCTACAGTATCTGTCAGTCATCAGTCAAGCTACAGTATCTGTCAGTCAAGCTACAGTATCTGTCAGTCAAGCTACAGTATATGTCAGTCAAGCTACAGTATCTGTCAGTCATCAGTCAAGCAACAGTATCTGTCAGTCAATCTACAGTATCTGTCAGTCATCAGTCAAGCTACAGTATCTGTCAGTCATCAGTCAAGCTACAGTTTATGTCAGTCAAGCTACATTATCTGTCAGTCAAGCTACAGTAGCTGTCAGTCATCAGTCAAGCTACAGTATATGTCTGTCAAGCTACAGTATCTGTCAGTCATCAGTCAAGCTACAGTATATGTCAGTCAAGCTACATTATCTGTCAGTCAAGCTACAGTATATGTCAGTCAAGCTACATTATCTGTCAGTCATCAGTCAAGCTACAGTATCTGTCTGTCAAGCTACAGTATCTGTCAGTCAAGCTACAGTATGTCAGTCAAGCTACAGTATATGTCAGTCAAGCTACATTATCTGTCAGCCATCAGTCAAGCTACAGTATCTGTCAGTCAAGCTACAGTTTCTGTCAGTCAAGCTACAGTATCTGTCAGTCATCAGTCAAGCTACAGTATCTGTCTGTCAAGCTACAGTATCTGTCAGTCAAGCTACAGTATATATCAGTCATCAGTCAAGCTACAGTATCTGTCAGTCATCAGTCAAGCTACAGTATCTGTCAGTCAAGCTACAGTATCTGTCAGTCATCAGTCAAGCTACAGTATCTGTCTGTCAAGCTACAGTATCTGTCAGTCAAGCTACAGTATGTCAGTCAAGCTACAGTATATGTCAGTCAAGCTACATTATCTGTCAGCCATCAGTCAAGCTACAGTATCTGTCAGTCAAGCTACAGTTTCTGTCAGTCAAGCTACAGTATCTGTCAGCCATCAGTCAAGCTACAGTTTCTGTCAGTCAAGCTACAGTATCTATCAGTCAGGAGATTATGAAAAATACCAATCCTCTGGTATTCTACCGCCTGCTCCTTCTTATTATGGCATCAGTCATTATTCTCTAGACATTATCTTCAGTTTCCTAGATCACCTGACACAGATCAGACGCCTGCCAGGAAGGACCCCTTTGCCATTGAAGCTGCCAAGATGATGAGGAATGGAGTGGGTGATGGGCTGGTGATTGACTGCAATGGCACCAGTAGTGTTCCTTCTCAGTCCAATCCACAACATTAACTTGTGAACTTCACATGTGACTGCAGAGCCTCTCAGTCAGGAAATGTGTGCAAGCACATACACTTTGCAAACATGGTGCTGTTGGCCAGAGGTCAGTCAGTGAATGAAATAAGGCAAAAACGTGCTCAGGTTATAGTGGAGAAGAAGCCATCCCTGCTGATAGAAACAGTCTAACTGGATTTGGGATAATGGTAGTACTGGTGTTGTGAATCTGGAGAATGTTCATGTAACACCAGCAGCTTTGGGGAAAACCAGGATCTCTAGTGGCACAGTTAGCACTGCGATGCAGTGCCTTAGACCACTGCGCCACTCAGGAGACACTGCCGATTTTGCAGGTTTTCCTACTTACAAAGCATGTAGAGGTCTGTAATTTTTATCATAGGTACACTTCAACTGTGAGAGACGGAATCTAAAACAAAAACCCAGAAAATTGTTGGTGAAACCATAAGGAGAGGAAGTACAAACCAACGACGCTAGACAGAGAGGAATATGTTTAAGCAAAAGGCAGTTTATTAAACAACAGAGATAGCTGGTATCTGCTCAAGCTACATGCATGGACCCATTCAGTTGCCTCTTATGGAGACAGTTGAAAAGGGATAAAAAACAGAGTTTACAGCATTACTTTATACAATGTAACACAAAGGAAGGGGTCCTTCTTCTAGTCCCTTGATTGGTTCCCGAGGCGTAGGAGGCGGGTCTGCTCTGTCCAGAGTAGAAGCCCCTTTGGTGCACGGCAGAGTCCTCTGCCCTTGGCACCCGACCAGTAGAAAGAAGTGCAGTTGTGTGTGTGCGTAACTCGTGAGGCATGAGGATGAGTGTGCGTATGCATGGAGATGTGTGTGTGAATGTGTGTATGTTCTCAAAGGAAAGACTCGTGGGGAGCAACCAGATTGTGGCCTGTGGCGTGGGTGTTGTCCTTGAGAAGATATTGGCTCTGTCCATTGTTCTTGCATAGGAACAGCATTGATTGAAAACAAGCTCCTAACATTAAAATGGGTCATGCACAAGATTTTAGTCAGACCAAGCTATAACATTTTAATATTTACTACGACAAATCCCCTCCCTCAAGGACTAGTCACGCCTTATCTTCCTCTTTCTCACGCTCAAAGCTGGGGGATGGACTTCTCTATCCTCTCTCCTGTCTGATGGATTGCATGTCTCTCTGAGGCTATTACACAATTCAGTTATTTTCCCAACATAC